AGCCGACTTCAAGTCAAGTAGCGTTTATATAGACAATAATAAGCTTGAAGCAGCCATATAAACAGGGTACATACATATTATTACATCATATTGTGTGTCTACTTTGTTTAGGTATGTACTGTATATAGAAGTATGAAATTTTAAATTTATAACTATTACTTTCATACATTCGAATATTTTTACTTAAATTTTATGAAATGGAAAATAAAATATGAAAAAAAAATTTTATTGTTATCAAAATAAAAATAACAAAATTTTTACCTAACTTAATTTAATTTTATTTCAGGTAGATGTTTTTTATACACTCATTTGTTTACAATATTTTATTTCTTTCTTGCCAACAAAACTCTTATTACCATCTATTTCCAAAGAAAAAATGAAATATTGTAATTTGGAAGTGGCAAGCAAACGAAAGAAAACGGAATGGAACGAATCGAACTACTTCTTGATAGATGTACTTTGATTACTACATCATCCTGTATATTAATTACGCAGATGTATATATGAAATTTTAAACTCAATCTATTACTTTCGTATAATGCCATATATATCTTTCAGGCCACCAGGCTGGAATTAATTTCCAAAATTTTGAAATTGCAAGAAATTACAAAAACAATTCTTAATATTTTATGTTTTCGAAGTATTCCAATTGAAATATTTTTTTTAATTTTTGTGAAATTTTTAAGTGTTCTTTGTGACTCTTATTTTATTTAGTATGGTTTTAAGAGCGATTTAGACTATGATATTTTTTGTTTTGCTTTTTTTTCAAATCCTTTTTAAATTCATTTTCTTATTCAAAGGCTTTACTCTTTAATTCAGTACCCTTCCATTTGGAAGACAAAAAAGGTTGTCTGCACTAAAAATTGCAATTTTAAATTAAAAAAACAAGTAAAAACGTTTCAAGTATAAGCCAACCGAATTATACCCAAGTTTCATGAATCTAACTCTATTATTTTCTCAAATCTGCTTTTGGAGCTGTATGGCAGCTACCCAAACCTGTCAAGTCATATCACCAAAACTTAAGGGATATATGTGACATATAATTGGACACATGACTGCCAAGTTTCATGAATCTGACTTTATTATTTTTTCAAATATTTAAAATTGTCTTTTAGAGTTGTATAGCAGCTTCCTGAACCTGTCAAGCCATATCACCAAAACTTCAGGAATATGTGTAACCTATAATTGGAGACACTACTACCAAATTTCATGAATCTGAGTTTATTATTTTTCCAAATATATAAAATTAGCTTTTGGAGTTGTATGGCAGCTGCCCGAACCAGTGCAGCCATTCTATTAAAACTTTCAGAATATATGTAGAGTATAAATGGACACATCTTTGCAAAATTCAATATTGATGTCTTTATTTGTTTTTGAAATATTTAAAAAAAAACCTCTTTGAGTTGTATGGCAGCTACCCGTACCCGTTGTCCGAATTGGCCTAGATTGTAGATTTTAAGGGAACCGAGTTGGACGGGAGTAACCCCTCAAGAAACCGCAGCCATTCTTGACTTATTGTAGCCTCCCCACGCTCCCACCTATAATATCCCTGTCCCAACCACATAGCCGGAGATATCCCTAAGGGAGTTGGACAACAGTTCCCGAACACTTAGGGACCCATGTCCTAAACAATTGCGGCGCCGAACAGCCAGTGCCAGTGCAGTGCTTTATTCATTTTTGAATTATCGTGCGATCGGACGATATGTCTAAATCAACGCAGAATTTTACGCTAAGCAAGAATATATATATATATATATGTCCATACCGGAGACGCCTCCTTCAAGTGGTTACAAACTCCATACCAAAGTGAACATACCCTTCACGAAGTGGAGGGTATAATAAGTAGAACCTGTAAAGCTACAAATATTGATCAATTTCCTTCACACAAATACTCGTAATTCCTTCCGTTTAAATTTTATATAAGTTTGCGATTTATTTTTGATCTGTGAGCTTGGAGGCCTTGGTGGACAGATATGACATTATATTCATACATTCGAATGTTTTTACCTAACTTTTATGAAATGGAAAATAACATATTATGAAAAATAAATTTAGTTTTATTAAAATATAAATAACAAAATTTAGTTTAACGTCATTTCATTTCGTTATTTTTTAATAAAATTGAAATATTTTGAAAATTGTAGAAGTGGCAAGCAAACGAAAACTAACGGTTTCGAACGAGTAAAATTATTTAAAAAACAAATATGTGTACGTTACTTTGTTTTAAGAAGATAAATTAAATTTTAAAGTAAATAATACACAAATTTATTTTTAAGCATTTCAATTCCCACATATGTATTATAGCTTTTATTTATGCCTAAACAATATGTTATTAACACAATTCCATACATAATGTATGTACAAAATATTATATACTCGGGAGAGAATATCTTATTTTCGAGTCGAACCAAGTTGCACTTACACGCATGCATAAGTATATAAAATATATTTATATACGTACGTTGTGCATAGGTATAACCAATATCAAAGTATATCTTTCTAAGAAGTAGGTCGACTTTCGGTTTATATCACACTAATGGAATTACTCACTAATATTTGTACAAAAAAAATTCCCTTAATTAAAAGAGTTAAGCATTATACACCGTCCCTTTTCCATTTTTACACATATACGAATTTTCGGGGTAGGGAAAAAGTGCGCAACAGACGGTTACCTGTTTGTTTACAATTTATTTTTAAAGGCGCGCAAGTGCATGTTTTTGTATACATATAAAGTATGGGAAATATATAAAGCATTTTAAAGGCACACAAGAGCAAGAGTAATTATTCCCAGCACAAGGTAGCAAAAATGGTGTCTCAGAAAAAATTTGAGTATTAAAATGATAAAAAATAATAACTATAACTATAATATATAATAACAAAATTATTTTAAAACTTGTAATTAGTAATCGTCATTACATTTATTGATGTCTATATATAAATTACGAATTTTTATTTTTATTTTAATCTTGTTTTTAAAATTTAAAACAAGTATTTCTTATAAATGCACATACACACATATCGGTAATCCGGATTTTTTCTTTATAAATTACTTTATTTTTATATTTCCTATACGCTTCCTTCAAATCATTATTAACATTTCAAGTCAAGTAAGCAAAATATTTTATTATACTTTTAATATATTTGAATGAAGCTGACTTCAAGTGAAGTAACGTTTATATAGACATAAAAAAGGCTTGGAACAGCTATACTACTACATCATATTGTGTACCTACCACCCATATGTACATTAATTACATACATACATATGTACAACATAACAAAATAGGGAATTTTTAATCGTTAGTTAATGATTCTTTCATACTTTCAAATGTTTTATGAAATGAAAAATAAAATGTTATGAAAGATAAGTTTTGTTGTTATAAAAATAACAAAATTTTTACCTAACTTAATTTAATTTTATTAAAAACATTGAACTAAAATAAAATTAAATTAAGTTAGGTAAAAATTTTGTTCTTTTTATTTTGATAATAACAAAATTTATTTTTCATTTTATAAAATTTAAGTAAAAAATTCGAATGTATGAAAGGAAAAGAGTTTGAAATTTCATGTATGAATGTACACATGCATGTACCTGGTACAGTAGATACACAGAATCAGGTAGTGACATAGAAATAAAGTAATTTATAAAGAAAAAAAGGTGTATGCATACTGATTACTTTATAAATATAATTATTATCGATTCATGGTATTCTAACATTATTAAGATTGAAATAAATATAAAAAATTTAAAGATAACTTATTTATTTTATTTATTAATAATTATCAATTACAAATGCTTAACACTAAAAATTTTTTGTTTTATATCAAATTGTTTTATAGACTTATTAAAACTTTTTATTATGTGGTAAATTCTAATTCTCACAACTTTCATAGTTGAAATTTTTTTTCAAGTGTTCATATATTTTACATTCTAAATTTTTTTCTGTACAAATATCATTAAAAAGTTTAATAAAAGTACTTTCTAAAATCTTTAAATTATCCATGAAATTCTTGGATGGTTTATAAAAAACTGTAAAATATTTTTTTTTCACAACTATTTAAAATTTTTTTAATATTATACGTCTTTTTAAAATTATATTATATAAATTATAATAATTTTTCTAAACACTTTTTCTCCGCTTCGCTTTTATAATTTCAATACACCATTTCTGCCACCTTGTACTGGAATGAATTAGAGAAACTATTGTGTCGCTTTTAAAATTCTTAATATTTTTCCCTATAACTTATATACGAGCAAATAATAAAGTGTCGCCTTTCAAAATACATTATAAAAAAACAGGTTGACATCTATTGCGTGCTCTTTCCCTCTCTCAAAAATGCTTATGTGTATAAAAATGAAAATAAGAAGGTATACTGCTTAACTTTTTTAACTAAAGGAATTTTTTGTATACAAATATTTGTGAGTGATTGCATTAGTGTGATGTAAACGGAGAGTCGAACTACTTATTAGTAGATACACTTTGGTTTGAAAATGAAAATAACAAGATATACTGCTTCACTCTTTCAGATAAGGAAAATTTTTGTATACAAAAATTAGTAAGTGATTGCATCAGTGTGATGCAAGCGGATAGTGGAAAAAAAATCCATGAGTTTTTTTAAATTTTATTGAGAAGTACATCCTCAGTCATCTTTAAACATTATAGGACTTTATTGTACATCCCGTATACATTATACACATATATTTTTTTTTGCGTTTTGTATATTCATTTGTTTATGCTCACTCACACATGCACCCAATAATGTAGTAAAATAGCCACGCATGGGTACCTTTACAATAGTGTGTATTGTTATTGCTATAAAAATAAAAGGGTGGAGTTGCTTTCCAGTTTCTGAATATAAGGAAATCAGTTTCCAACAAACGCCTTCAATATTTCACATTTATGATTGTGTGGTAGTAAAAAGCTTAATATTTTATAATTCTGGCAATATTATACACCAGATTTTTTCCAGTCAAGAGAATATAGACAGTGTAAAAGAATTCTTCCTGCTATAATAAACGTTTCGGAATTGGAGATGAGTAAAAAAATGTTATGCTTACAGTGCATTAAAAAACTATAAGCAAAATGCACTAATTTCGTAAAAATGTTTTAAAGAATTTTTTTTATAAAATTTTATTTTGAACTTAGAAGTAAAATAAAAGTTGAATAATATAATAAAGGAATATATTCCTAGTATAATGAATAGAAATGAAATAACTTACATGAACGAAACAATGATTTTATGCGTGTTTGCACTTAAGTAACTAGATGTGCATAATATTAATTTAGTGTTTCTGTGATGTTTTTAATCTTATTTGCGCATCTGAAATACATAATCCATATACAAATTATTATTTTTGTTAAATTTTAGTTCAAGCAATTTTAAAAATTTTGAAAGAAATTTTGATATTTTAACCATTGGTTTAAGTTTTTGTGTTTTGTTAATAAGTTTTACGATGTTTTTAAAGTGAAGTGAAATCAGAAATATTGAAAGTCAAAAAATTATAAAACTTAAATATTAAGGAAAATATTTTTTTCTTTTAAAAAGATAATTACATAATCAAAATTTTGACTGAAGGATCGAAAACTCCCCTTAGGGCTGTCGCACTTGCGTCTTACCTAGGGGACGAATTTCCCATTTCAAATTCCCAAACTCAACCAGTAAAGGATTTAATGGCATTTGGATCTGTTTTACAACATAATATTGGTACGTTCTTTATTATTTACCTTTGCTCGTAGTCGTTTTTTTTAAGTACTCTATACGCCGCCTATAATAGGTGCTTATGTACTAAGCACTTACAAGTACCTATATGAAAATTAAATTCTACAATACAAGAGCATTTATGTTACTTACATTAAACTTATATGTATACAATTTTTCAATATCGTATTTAAAATCATATACATACATATGTATTTTATATTTTTATAACTCTCATTTCTCAGTATATATGTATGTAGGTCTTGCCATAAGGAGAGTTTAGCAATATAAGTCACATAAGAAAGTTACATACACATAAAACGGTACATATAAGTATATGTATGTTTGTTTCAAAAAGCTATATGTATGAAAAGTATAACTTTTTTTAATATTTTTCTGGAAAATCCTTTAGTTTAGTTTTTTTTAATTTGATTGTATACAGAAACAAATTTTAAAACTTTAGATCTTTGTTTTTGGAAAAGGTCTTTGGATTTTATATTTTTAAAAATTTTATCTTACATTTCAATGAAAAACTTCAATAAATGGGTTATTACATAAGATACGTATTCTGATACATACGTATGCACATTTGAAGTTATATGATAATATTTAGTTTCTCACAGCGTAATATTTTTTTTTCCAGGTTTTCATTCCTTTTGACGGGAAAATTGCTGTAAAAAATACTCGTAAGATTTTTAAAAAAGTATTATACATATGTATTTTGAAGGGTGGATACTTAAACTTTATTGCTATTTTTAAGTATGTACTTATGTCAGGCTATTACGAATTACATAGTGAATACGGACTTTGGGAAATTATTAACTTATTTTTTTACAAATGATTTAGTGTTTTATATTGATACTTTTAAAAAACTGTTTTAAAAGAACCATGTTGCTTCTAAAAATAAGGAAATATTATTTTAGTACGACGATAAAACTTTTTAAATTTTTGAGAAAATTCCTGTTGAAAATGTCGTGAATTTTTGATCTTTTTTAAATTTGTTGTATGTAGGTAAAGTATTGTATTAATGGATCTAATAAAAATCAATTTAGTTATGATTTATTAATTGAGTTGCTTATTTTTTCTTGCTTCAATTTTCTTTATACATCTACCTACACCATTTACTTTCATTCCCAGCTAAATTTGCTGGCAAATTTTCTTTATACATAATTGATGAATTGAACCGTTCTTGTAAGAAACCCATTTTTCTAGAGAATAAAAATTCTATAGAGGTCCTGAAAAGCCTCTCAAAGCCATACCGACCATAAAGACATTTTTTGACAATTAATTGTACTGAAGTCATCAACTTCTTTAAAATTTCCCAAATATAGGAAAACAGAAACATACTTCTTTTACTGCGAAATATCACCGGCAAATATTACAGTGATTAAATTATGTTTATTTATTAAATTATCTGCTAATCCATTTTTTTTACAAATTTTAGGCAGCATTTTTGCTTTTGGTGGTTGTTATAGAATTTTTAGAAAAAAACTTCTTTTGTGGTAACAAATTTTTTCTACATTTGTTTAAAAGAAAAGAGCTCTCTAAAATTTAATTATGCATTTTAACTGACTTAAATAACTTTACAATTCGACCTTAGAAGTAACATAAAATTTTTAATGCAAAACAAATAAGGTTTCTAAAAGGTTAAAGAACAAAAGATGAAATTTTTTAAATTTTGTAGCAAAATTTTCAACATGTTTAATAGGGGTGAATTTAGTGTATCTCTTCTCATTGATATATCAAAAATATTTGATATATGGTTACGAACTTCATATAGTGCTGATTTTCGCGATTTTCTTGAAACTGCTTAAATCTTTTAAACATATGGGATTAGTTATTGATTACAGAATATATGTTGAGTAGATCATATTCATACACTTTAGCAATGTCATAAGAAATTTCATTTTGGAATTTACTTTATTTTAGAAACATTTACCACTTAAAACAATATTTTAACAAGTTTTTCCACTTTAAGATTAAGTACGGTAAATTTTGTTAGGGTAGCACCCAAAAGAATAAAATGATATTTCTCACAGGCTTAATTAAAATTCTTTCGCATTTTAGTACCTGGATTTTATAATTTTAATTATTTTTTTAATGTATTAGCTGCACGGATATTTAGTCAACTTTCACCAGAGCTTTAATTTTTCGCAATTTTTTTCTTTTCATCGTAAAATGTATGCAATAATTTGCATAATTAGATTTAAATATAAATAAATTTATATTACATTTTATTACATATAATTAAACAAAAAATTAATGAAGAAAGCTAAATAGGTAGCAGATTGCTTTTTTGAAAAACTACTTTCCCTTGTTCAAGCAAAAAGCGCTACTTTATAAATTATTAGGTTTATAAAATTTAAGTCAACGACTTAAAAAAAATTATTCAAATTAAACCAATGCTTGAAATATAGCACTTTTCCTTGAACCAGTGAAAATGTTCTAAAAGACAATTTATCAGCTATTTAAATTACTTCCGAATTTTTTAGTACTAAAACAATGCAAAGAAAAAATCAAAAATAAACTTAGAAACAACAAAAATATAGTTAATTAAAAACTTAACTTAAAAAAATTAAGCTATTAATTTTAATAGTAATTGCGTTAATAACCCACTAGGAAAACTGTGACAATGTTAAGAAGTGTATCTCTCCGAGTAATGTGTTAAATACTAATATAAAATTCTTGAAACAACTTTATATTAGATTTAGAAAATTTAATATTAGATTTAAACTTAAAATTTTCTAACAAAAAGAATATCGGAAGTGCATAAATCTATTTGTGATTGTGACATATAAAAAGAAATCGCTACCTACACTTACAAACTACCCTGGTGAAGAGAAAAAACATTGTCATAGTTTCTATTTAAATAACAATTATTCTGACTACAAAGATTGAGAATGTGACAACACAATTTATAGTACCTTAGTATTTTATATTTCTAGATTGTAGGGATTATATGCAAAACTGCAGTAATGTTGTTTATTATTTTAGATAATATATTTTTATTATTTAAAAAAACAAATATAAATTTAAAAAATAATCTTAAATAAAGTTAAGGACGGTATTTAGTTGACTTTATGTTAAGGACGGTACTTCGAATAGCTTTCATATTCCCATGTAAAAAATAAATGTGAAAGTAGACTGTATTCCTTAGGAACATACATTATCTTACAGTAGTTATATGAAAGAAAAGAAATGAAACGATCACCTTAGTGAAAAGAAACTACATGTACGTTGAATTTTCTTCTGAAAATGAAAACCTGTGAAACTACATGTATTTACTTATTTGTTCATGGTGTATAGCCATGAACAAATAAGTAAATTAATAGATGTGTAACAAATATAGCATTATTAATATTATTGTTATAGCATCACTTATGTGACACAATAATTTTAAAATAAAAACTTAGTATACACACACAATGATCCATTCAATTTCATCCTTTTACAGATGTGATTTATTGATTGACGTTTTATACTATAAAAGTCAAAGTATATCTATTAAAAAGTAATTTCAAACCGTGATTAAAAAAATCTAACGCAATTTTTTCACACAAGTAATTATAAAACAATTCCTGTGTTTAAAAGAGTTAACAACCATTTTACCTTACAGGATTCATTCCTGTCCAAAATTATTGTATTTATATACATATACATATCTTAAAACAAATATCTTAAAACAATAAGCACTTTCATTGAGTCCGTTCGTGCGTATAAGAACATGTTTAAAAAATGTTCTAGACTCTTGAAGATAAAAAGTTGAAGTTTCACATGTACATAGGTCTTTACTAGAAACTTATTTCCGCAGAAAAATTTTTTTATCTATCCTCAAAAATGCCATTTTGTAAATATTTATTGCAGTGAAACCATACTCATTTTCCAAATTACAAACACAGAAAAGCAGTGGCTTGCTTTTTCTACTGCGGGTGTGCCGAAATATTTGCACTTTAGAAAAACAAACAGGCCGCTAAAATTCAAATTTTTTTCAAATTTTTATGTAATTTTTCTTTTAGACCTTAGGTTGTAGAAGTCTGAAATTGAAACAAATTTTAGACATTAATAAATAGTTAATTTCGTTACAAGAAAATTTTTTTCCACCTTCAACTACTCCCCAGTTATCGCCTTTCGAAATTTGTAAAATTTGAATTTTTGGCACCTTATATTTCCGAAACTGCAAGCTTTTTCGAAATTCTGTAAATGAAAAAAATAACAGTAAATCTGATGCTATTTAAAAATATAATTATTTTTTTTAAATCAGGCGATTAACCTTTAAAATCGAGCATTATGATAGCGCCTCTTTAAATTCTTTTACTTTACTTCAGAGACTGCATAAATTGTTCATCCTAAATGTATGCAATTTTTGAAAATGTGTGCAAGTCAGATATATGAATGAAAGTCATCATCATCATCATCTTTTGGTTCTACAGCTCCGGGTGAGTCTTGACCTCGTTCACAATTTTCCGCCAAATTTCACGGTTCTGGGCAGCTGCTCTCCAATCATGGACCCCAATTCTTCTACAATTAGTCTCTATACCATCGAGTCATCTAGATCTAGGCCTGCCTCTTGCTCTTATGTTGTATGGTCTTGCGGCTAGAATTCTTTTCTGTGCTCGATGTTCTGGCATTCGAGATACGTGTCCTGTTCATCTTAGTCTGTGTCCCTTGATATATTTGACGATATTTTTTGCCATAAATTAGTTCTTCATTAATTTCGGACTAAATATTTTCGGAGCAGTTCTCTTTCAAATATTTTTAACTTTTCCTCGCCACTTGTTTTCATGGTCCATGTTTCGCAACTATATGTAAGTACCGGTTGAACTAACGTATTGTATATTCTAATTTTTATTGATCTGGCTATTAGCCTGGATTGGAGAAGCCGCTTGTATGTATATGGCATTTTTATGCCGCTTGAATTTTCTCATTAATTGCTATGTGCATATCATTTTTGTTATTTATTAAAGCACCCAGGTATGTAAAACTTCTTACACCTTCAAAGTGTAATT